CACCCCCAGCAGCTCCAGCAGTACCCCCAGACTCAGCAGCACGTCTCCAGCGGCGGGCGAACCACACGCGCAGCTCCTGTGGAGAGAGTGGCTCCCGCCTCAACGAAGTACCGCCAGCAGCCACACGAGCAGACCCAGCACCCCGAGGCTCCACACCCCCAGGCTCAGCACCCACAGGCTCAGCACCCCCAGGCTCAATACCTCCAGTCTCAGCACCCCCAGACTCAGCACCCCCAGACCCGGCACCCGCAGACCCGGCACCCGCAGGCTCAGCACCTCTAGCAGCACCAGATTCAACAGCTACCTCGATAGGCTCGAATGCGTCTACCTGTGACACACCTGGAGGGGCAGGACCCTGAGGAGGGAGGGGGTCTACCTGGGTAGCACGTAGCGCAAGGAAGAGAGGCGGCGGGGGTAGGGGCGCAGTGCGGTAGGGGAAGAGACGGTAGTAAGGCACCGACTCGTCAAAGGTGACGTCCTGGGAGGACAGAACACGGCGCGTGGTGGGGTGGTAAAACTGCCAGCCAGGCGCGTCAGGGGGGAAGCCAAGGAAGACGCAAGGAACAGCACGGGGGGACAGCTTGTCCGCAGACAAGTCGCGGACAAACGCCCGAGATCCCCTGACCCGAAACGCAGACGCATCGCCAACCTTCCCTGTCCACCGCAAGGCGGGGGAGGTCTCTGGCAAGGAGACCCGGGGCTGAAGGTTGAGCTGATGCACGGCGTACTGAACCGCAAACGGCCACAGAAAATGGGGGGCAGCCGCATGCATCATGGACGTACGCGCGACGTCCATGACCATGCCAATGCGGCGCTCAGCAATCCCATTTTGCTGTGGAGAGGCCGGAAGCGTGAAGGTCTGGCGGATGCCCTGTGCCCGACAGAAGGCTCCCAGACGGGCAGAGGAAAACTCCCCTCCTCTTTCCGAGTGCAGACGCAAAACAGGAAAGTCCGAGCCGAAACTCTCTCTGAGCTGGAGACGAGCTGCACGGATCCAGTCGATCAACATCTCAGTGACGTCACCCTTGCTGCGCAAGGGGAAGACTGTGGTGTAACGCAAGTAGTCGTCAACGACCAGCAGAAAGTACCGCTCTCTCCCCTGCCCACTGACGCGGGCTGGGCCCCACACGTCCATGTGTAGAGTCTGCAGCGGAGCCTCTGTCGGAGGAAACTCGGAGGAGTGAGGGGCGGTGCACTGTCGCCCCTCGACGCAGGGGACGCAGGTAGGGCCAGGCCCCGGAGGAAGGGGAGGGAGAGACGGAGGAAGACCAGAGACAAGGACACGGGAGGCCATGCCTTGGAGACGAGGCAAGGAGGGGTGACCAAGGCGGTGGTGCCAAAGGAGAGTCTGGTGGGACAGCAGACGACATGAGCTGGGGGCAGACTCAGGACCAGACCTGGACGCCGCAGCAAACACCTGACTCGACGCAGCTACCTGGGCAGACTCAGCAGCCGGAGGAGACTCAGCAGTAAGGGTGTACAGGCTCGACCCTGGCCGACGGGTGAACGTGGCCAAGTGTCGGCCTGTCCGAGCACATCTGCAGTGGGTCACTCGCTGACTCGCAGGAGTGAACTGGTCAACCCCTTGATCCTGTAGGTCCGCTCCACTCACCAAGTTCGTAGAGAACGAGGGGAGGTAGAGACCAGACAGGGTGCCAGAGGGGGCTGCAGGGCACGGAAGGACAGTGGAGAAGCTAGCAAAGACAGGACCCCCAGAGGGGTCTGCCAGGGAGACTGCAACCGGCCGACTAAGCGGCGTAAGAGTGGTGCGGTCTCGAAAGAAGGAGCGGGGCGCACTCGAGTCCAGGGTGAAGGTGTGGAAGGCCTAAGCCGACGTAGTACCTGAGAGAGCAGACTCACCAGCACCTGGGGCGGCAGACGCACTGGCACCTGGGGCAGCATACGCACTAGCACCTAGAGCAGCAGTCTCACCAGCACCTAGCGCAGCAGCCTCAATGCCCGGGTCAGGCGATACACACAGGTAACAGGCACTCTCAACACTATCAGCAACAGCATACATGGCAGCAAGAATAGCATCAAAGTCAAGATCAAAGATAGCAACCCCGGCCTTAGCCAGATCTCCCCAGCGAGGGATCTCTGACACCTCAGGGAACTGGCGATGCCACGCGTCCGTCAGGCGACCAAAGCAGCGCTGGTGGAGTGCGGACCTCCGCACTGCTCACCAGTGCGGTCGCCGGTACGGAGAACGTAAGAGTAGGGACCAAAACCCCCACCGCGCTGGCGTGCAGTGTACCACTCACGAAGCTGCTGAGGGGACAGGGTCACACCACTCCGCTACTGCTGCTGGCGCTGACCACCAACGGCGCCACTCCTCGGCGCAGAGTCGCGACTTGCTCCACCACCGCCGCCTCCGCCGCCGCCGCCGCCGCCTCCTCCACCTCCGCATCCTCCACTACCTCCGCCGCCTCCGCTCCCTCCGCCACCTCCACCGCCTCCGCTGCCTCCACTGCTGTCGCCGCTGCCGCCACCCCCAGCACCACTCCCACCACCACCCCCACTCCCTCCACCGCCTCCACCACCACCTCCACCGCCCCCTCCACCCCCTCCAGTGCCCTTGCCCCCCTTGCCCTTGCCGGTGCGGCGTCTCCCGCTCGGGGCAGACGCAGCGCCGACCGACTCGAAACCAACGAGGTCGGCCGCAGCAGCAGAGGCAACAGAGGGCAAGAGGGGGCAGGGAGAACACCCCTCAAAGACGGGGGTGCGAGGGTCACCACGAGAGGCTCCTACAACGACTATGCTCTTCTCTGTCGCTAGGAGGGCCTTCTTGAGGAGGTCAACAGTGAGAGTGGTGGGGCAAACAGAGAGGAAGTGGTCCCTGACTACACGGAGAGACTCAGGGAGACGGGTGACTATGTAGTAAAGGGTGATGTACATGGGGGGGGGGTTCTTGGCGCAGAACTCAGCAGGAAGCGCAGCACGGTAGCGAGTGTCACTAGTGCGGAGGTGCGTAATGAGGTCAGCGACAGTGGGAAAGGCAGCAAGGTCAGGGAAGAGGTACTGTAGCATGAGGCGGCTCAGTGCAGTAGTGGCAGGGGAAGAGTAGCGTGCAGCTACAGCGTCGTACAAGGTCTGAGCACTCTTGTACTGGCTAAAGTGTGCACGCTCAGTGGTCGGTAAGTGGCGGCGCACAGCAAAGCGAGCAGCAGCGTCACGTGTGGCCCATTGTGAGCGAACAGTGGCGTCAGCATCAGCAGTAGGGGCAGGGGAGGCACCTGAAGTGAGGTCAAACAGGGAGAGGCCGTCTGCCCTATCGCACTGCAGGAAAAGCTGCAGATCATCTACCCAGACCTCAAAGTCCACTGCCCGACCCTCAGCGTCAAAGGTGAGAACGCTAGGGGAAGCCATAACAGCAGTAGGCAGGGTAGTGTAGTGGCAGAGACTGTGCTCTTACCAGGTAGGTGGAGCGATCGGGCTGCTCAGCGGCTCGGCTGTCGGGCGGCTCGGCTGCAGGGCGGCTCGGCTGCTGGGCGGCTCGGCTGCTGGGCGGCTCGGCTGCTGGGCGGCTCGGCTGCTAGGCGGCTCGGCTGCACGGTGCTGGGCGGCTCGGCTGTTGGGCGGCTCGGCTGCTGGGCAGCTCGGCTGCCGGGCGGCTCGGTTGCTGGGCGGCTCGGGCGGTCGGGCAGCTCAGCTGGCCGGCGGTTCGGCTGCTCGGCGCTGCGAGCGTTGGGAGGCGGGGTCGCAGGTGGTGGCGAGGTCGCAGGTGGCGGCGTAGCGGGGCCACGACGGGGCCTAAGCGGGGCCGTAGCGGGGCCGACGGGGCCGAAGCGGGGCCCAAGTGGGGCCGTAGAGGGGCCGACGGGGCCGAAGCGGGGCCGCGATGGGGCCGTAGCGGGGTCGTAGCGGGGCCGCAGCGGGGCCTAAGCGGGGCCGACGGGGCCGAAGCGAGGCTTGAGCGGGGCCGCGACGAGGCCGACGGGGCCTAAGCGGGGCCGACGGGGCCGACGGGGCCGTAGCGGGGCCGTAGCGGGGCCGTAGCGGGGCCGGCGGGGCCGACGGGGCCGTAGCGGGGCCGTAGCGGGGCCTAAGCGGGGCCGACGGGGCCGTAGCGGGGCCGTAGCGGGGCCGTAGCGGGGCCTAAGCGGGGCCGTAACGGGGCCGTAGCGGGGCCGTAGCGGGGCCTAAGCGGGGCCGACGGGGCCGACAGAGCCGTAGCGGGGCCGTAGTGGGGCCTAAGCGGGGCCGACGGGGCCGTAGCGGGGCCGTCGCGGGGCCGTCGCGGGGCCGATGGGGCCGTAGCGGGGCCGTAGCGGGGCCGTAGCGGCCTAAGCGAGGCCGTAGAGGGCGGCTCGAGGGGCAGTAAGGGCGGCCAATAGGGGCCACTAGGGCGGCTCAAGGTGCTACTCGGGTTAGGAGCTAAGCGCGCTCCGGGCAGGAAAAAAAAAAGTTCGTGGTGGGCCCTAGGCAGTATTCCCACTCGGGAACCTGCTCGATACTATGACGAGAAGTGAGAATGGAATGAATGAACTATGAAACAGTTGGGTACAAGTACTAACCCTAATTGGGTTGTACCCCTTATGGGCTACCCCACTACAGCCTACACAAATGTATAAGCTATAATGTTCTGACACACTCTGGTCTCGCGGCCATCCCTTCTAGCACCACGCATGGTCAGCCAGTTCCTACAGCAGGTGTTACTACAGCAGCAGGTGGCCTGGCAGGGAACGGTGAAGGTGCTCAGCGAGCTTCAGCGGCGCATGCAGATGCACCTGATGGTGCTCTTCCATCTACTCCAAGGCAGCCAGGTGCCTTTGCCGGTGCTTCGGCAGAAGGGGTTGGACAGCCAGGTGCAGCAGCGGTAATGCTAGCAGCGGCAGCAAGTCTGCGAGGTGCACTTTCTGCAGCTGCTGCTGGTCAGACGGGCGCAGCAGGCGATGTTCCTACTGTACCGACTGATCAGACAGGTGCAGCAGCCGTGGTTCCTACCGCCTCTACGGGCCAGACAGGTGGTGCCGTTAGTTTCACAACTGTAGCCGCGGGTCATGCAGGTCCAGCAACCGGTGCTCCTACGGCATCGGCCGGTCACGCAACGGCAGCAGCCGGTGTTCCGACTGGCGCCGCGAGTTTATGGGGTTCAGCAGCCGATGTTCCAGCACCTGCCGCTGGGCCGCCAGGTGGATCAGCCGGTGTTCATTCAGCAGTGGCACGGGGTCAAGCAGCCATTGGGCGGCCTATCAAAGCAGCCGTGGTTCAGCCCACAAACGAATCATGGGACCTAGTGGGACCCCCGACGGAACTCACCATGTTTCATGAAGGTGTGCAGGTCCAGGGTGCTCAATGGTTGGTTGCGGCGGCGGGCACTGCCAGGGCACCTGATGTTGAAAGGGGTTCTTCTGTATGGTCTTCGGGGGAACAGTTTTTTGCCCCATCTGCCTTTCACCTAGGGGCGCATATGCAGTGTGTACGCGCACCATCTGCGGTGGGGTTTGCGCAGCTTGCAGGCGCTGTTCAGCCGGTGGCCACAGCATCCGCCGCACATTCATGGCCGATTGGCCATGCACAGCAACCTCCCAGCGCGGTTTACCCCGGTTCTGTACAGCCAAACGACTTCGTGCAACTGCCACTTTCGACGCTTCGTCCCCCGCTACATCAGTCTGTTACTTTCCTCGCCTTTGATGAGGTGCTCGACGATACCAACTGCCAACCAGGTCACACATCCGCGTCTCGTGGTCTGGGTCTATCGAGCATGCTCTCCGGTTTTATGCAGGGGTCCCAACATGTACTGCCCTCACCTGCAGCCTCCTCATCTATGGTGCCCACGACCCAGGGAGGGGAGATCAGTGAGGTGCCCGGCAAAAAGGGGTGGACGGGCATCACAAAGAAGCTGGACAAGGACGAGTGGATCGCCAGGATCGTCCCAGATCGTGCATCACAATTGCTGATCGTCATCAACAGCCACTTTGAATCGGAGGAAGAGGCGGCAAGGTCAATAGCCGCAGCGTCGCACGTGATGTTTGTTGACAAGCCAACGCGCGGGGAGCTCATTCCCTTGACCGCCGCCGACAAGGCAAAGCTCAGAGATTGTTCCGCAGACCAGTGTGAGGTGATGGTCCGGATGAAGTTTTGGCACATGTGGGAGGAGTGGAGGAAGTATTGGCCTGCAGGGAAGGCAAAGTGGGCCGAGAAAGTGCGCAAGGACGAAAAAAAGAGAGCTGCAATAAACGCCAGCTTGGATGAGGCTGAGGCTCGGGCCGACAAAATTGCCCGTAAGGAAGCTGGAGGAAATGCCGGGGCTGAGACTGCATCTCACCAGGAGGGGTCGGGATCTAAGGATGGTTAGTTCGGGGTTCTCTCCGGATCGGGGAGTGTTTTGAGATTCTCAGACGGTGTCTTTGTGCCTTTAGGCATAAGTACCACACGGTGCAACTAGTGTGTGCTTCGTTCAGGTTCTGTGTACACTTTCATCATCTAGCTCAGCGTAGCATAATGCACGCACAGTGCTCCAGATGCTTCAATTAACAACATTAATTTTGGTGCATAAGTAAAGCTTCACGGGGATTTCACTATTGGATCACTATTGGATCTGAACCAGCTGTAGTAGTGGTGGTTACCATCATCTTGCTTATTGTGGCATTATGCAGTGGTATCTGCTCCTTAGAGGTACTACACAAACAAGAAAGAAGATTGCATTGTATTTAAATCATCACATAAGGGCGAAGCAATAGTAAAGGCCATGAGTCATCAGGCAAGACCCTAACAAAGTTCTGCAAAGCAGCAGTGTGTGTTCCGTCAGCCCCTAGTCACTGGATTGTGGGGCAAAGATCGGTCGATGTAAGTGCCTCACGCGATACTCACCGCGAACACACCACCGACCCGCAAGTGCGCAGTCTGCATTACGTGAACAGCCCACGAGGCACAGGCCGTACAGTCATCATACCGACATAAGGTCGAACGGTACGCTCGCCAAGTATTAGTGAAACACGAGTAAACCTCTAGTAAAATCCTAAGTGTGACGTTCAAGTTTACCGATGTGTTCCAATACAAAAAACTGTGGAGTCCGGTCAATACGTAACCCTATACCTTACGAGGTACTGCAAACCAATACAATTCTCATTATTCAAACTACATTAGAACCCGAGGGGAAATCCCAAGCAAAACACTAATATGCCCATCACAAGGGTTAATATCCACACGGGTATGAAGGGTGTTCCGCGATGCCCAACTGCCAAAAACGTCGGGAGTGAAAGGGGTTGGTTGAGGGGCTCACGAGATGCTCACCAAGAATCCACCACGCAGGAGTACAACCCATTTGTCACGGGCGATCGAGGAGTGGATGCATCGTGATTCTTTTGCCTCACAAGCACCATTCCTACATATGGTTGTTTCGGAGACCGCCACGTATCAGAATGACGCGACCTAAACCATAGTAGACACGTAGTACCAAAACAGTGAATGACAAGTGTTGTCCTCGTGGAAAGTCACGCTGAAATCGAACCACTGCAATACGAGAGTAAACTGCTCGTGAAACCCTTAGTCGGGCTTAACTGATTCGTCACAAAGTTGTCCCCACGATGATAGTTGCCAGCCATTGCGTCTTCGCTTTAGGCATCACGTGATAATCGCGGATCTCTCGAACCCCAGCTCCAACAATACGTATTAAGTTTTCAATTATCAACAAAAGGAAACATCAAAGACGTATCAGGTAATAATAATCGGTCTCTTATGACTCAGACAAGGGCCGTGTAATCTCCAGAGGCTTCATGGGTATATTCAAAGTTAATCGTGCAACGTTTTAGAACAACCACATGGGCCATCACCTAGCCAGCCAAGTACATGCCACATATGTAAATAACAATAACCTCTGCCTTGCACATTAGTCAGCCATATGTTCTATCGACTTGTGACCTTCTTTGTTACGATTAGTAATGGATCGACCCAAGGATCAGTAATGACCCGTCTCATGGATCAGTAATGCACAGCTTCTATGCGTCTCCCCTATATATGTTTCAACGTATGAAACGTAGACATACCTCAACTAGATGGTCGGAAACAAATCTACTGAGGCGCCCGATGTTTGTGTATGTTGGGAAGCATAGTAAAATAGATACAAGGCTTTTGAAAGAGTACAAGGAATATGAAGAGATTGTGAAAATTAGAAGAGAGGAGGTTGCACTAGCAAGAATGAGGATATAAATAGCAAACCCTAGAAGGGTTGTACTTGCTATAGAGCACCCCACTACAGGCTAGAGCATAAGATAACATTCTGACACACCCCCATAGCCAAAGTGGGGTGTAATCAGCAGAGCAAGCAAAGCAGTATAAGCTCAGGGTGGATCACAATGTCACCACACATTCTGAGCACAAGTTCAAGAAGCAATAGTTTAAAGTTCACAATTATGAGCAAAGCTAGTGGTAGTCACAACGGGCAAGTGAGGAGGAGGAGAGAGAGTGAGAGGAGAGGAGATAGGAGGCGCCGGATGAAGCTGCAGACACACGGGCAATAGGAGGCACACTGGCATAGCGGCTACCGGAACAACGCTCCGGAATACTGGAGTAACTGGCCCCGCGGCTAAAGTAGCGGCAAACGAGCAACGGACCCACGGGCGGCTGGCACAGCTGGCTACGAATGGGCTACCGGAGCAACTCCCCGGACTACAGGTGCTGCTGGCGACACGACGGCAACCTCCATTCAGCTTCCCCAAACTATCCCACTCCCCCCCGGCACACACCCGCTGCTACACCGCTAGCTCCACTCCCCCTTCACCCCCCCTTAGTACCACTCCACCGGCTCCAACACATCCACCCCCCCTCAGCGACAGCTGCAGCACAGGGAGACGGAGGAGGAGGAGGAGCAGGGAACGGCACACAGTGAGGTCACCCCCATACCCCTCACCCCCAAACCCTAATTCAGGAGAATGGGGAGTAGGAGGGGTGGGGCGCCAGGAGAAGCACTGGGGGACAGCGGGGAGGGCAGGGGCAGCGAGGAACGGGCCCACCACGGGCCTGGTACAGACGCCCGAGCCGCGCGCAGGCGGCCCGAGTCGCGCGCGGGCCTGGCGCCGCCCGTACGGGCCGCGCGCGGGCCTGGCGCAGCCCGTACGGGCCGCGCGCTGCCTGTACTGGCCGCGCGCAGGCCACGACGGGCGACGGGGGGCGACGCGCGGGTCCCCGTCGCCCGTCGCGGCGCCTCCAGAGGACGACGCGCCGAACGACGGGGCAGAAGCCCGCCGCGCGCCTCGGGGCGCACAGCGGGCAGAGAGCCGCCGCGCGCCTCGGGGCGCACGGCGGGCAGAAAACCGCCGCGTGCCTCGGGGTGCATGGCGGGAAGAAAAACAGCCGCACGCCACGGGGCGTGCGGCAGAGAGAGTAGCAGTAGTAGTTGCAGCGGAAGCAACGAGGTGGTAAGCCCACCCACAGGATCGATCCAAGGGGATCGACCTGCTCTGATAGCATGTGAAAATTAGAAGAGAGAAGGAGGTTGCACTAGCAAGAATGAGGATACAAATAGCAAACCCTAGAAGGGTTGTACTCGCTATAGAGCACCCCACTACAGGCTAGAGCATAAGATAACAATCTGACAAAGATCCTAGCAATAACTGTTTGACTATTGCTGGTGCGGTTCGTCACAGTGACGACTCGGGCAACTGCTCAATAGCGAGTCCGTTGTTTGTCCTCGCTGTCGCGCTGTACTTGTTGTCACGTCAAAGGTTGCTGACACTACAGAGGCGCTTAAATCTCTTGTTTCCAACACCAATTTCGAATCGACCAACCTAGCCAGTTACTCTAATGCGTACCTTCCCTTATTCAAAATCACCGCCAACCGTGCGGCGCGTACAGTTACCCAAATGTTATTGCCACATCCATCTTGCCTGCAGCTGCCCTATGCCGCATGCTCTGACATACCAGACTCCCGCTAACCGTTTGCCGCTTTTAGTCAACTCTGTACCCACGCATGCATTATTGTTACTATTCGTAGCGACACTCATGGTGTATCTGAACATTCAAGTGAAGAGTAGGTGCGATGGTATGCAGCCTGATACAGTCCATAACGTTCACAACTCGTGATTACTTTTGTTTGCTTTACGTGAGCACACCATACGTATTTTAAACAGAACTTGAATACACAACATTAACGCGTACAGCGTCTGGTACAGATTCACGGTAACTCAATGTACGCGTGAAGCCCCTAGTCAATCCCGCGTGAGGGAGATGACAACTAGATCGCGCTTCTCATTGGCTGTGCCAGATGTTGTCGCTGTCACATCACAAGCAGGTGGTGGACGTCCCGTCACCCGGTCCAACCAGAGACACGCGACTCTTTCACCTCTCACATCAACACCCCCACTAGTTAAATTGAAAGGCAAAGCGCCAGTACATAAGCCTGTAGTGGCTGCTTTCGTCAAGGTCATCTCCCTAGTAAGCCCTGGTATGGCGTCTCGGAAAAGCGGGCGATTGAGTGGGGCGAGGAGTGATGGAGTCCCGTCCAATAAGTCGTCCTCGCGTGTACTTAAGTTTGAGATCCTCGTAACAGTTGACGTGGAGGAGAGGCCCCCCGTACCCGACGACATAGTGTCCCTTTTAACGAAATCGGTGTCAGGGCCGTCGGAGGGTAGCGCTGTACTTCAGCCCACGTTGACAAGCGAGCACTTTCCAACGCCAGCGTTCACGAATCAGATTGGGCAGAGTGCTTAAGTGCAGATGGTTGATGCTCTTGGCATTCGAGACGGTTTTGAGATTCCGGCGACAACCATTGATTTCCACAACGTGTGAGTACTCTAGCAGCTTCCATACGTCGTCATTAACCCTAACCGTGCGGTGCTAATGTATCTATTATACTTTGTGCAGCGTTCTGAGTGTCTTGCACCCGCAACTACCTACGGGGAGGACGTGGGTTGCGCTGGCATCCTCAGCGTACCAGTCGGCAGTTAACGAGCATCTATGTTGCAACATTGATAGCGATTCCCAGTTCAAATTCGACTACGTATGCATAGTGGCATTAACCACGTAAGTTGGCGTGGTTTAGTAGTGCAGGATCATTACAATGTGCATGTATTCTCATGTTTCATTGGCTTGACCCGGTGTCACAGGGACCCTGGGCCCAAACACGCAAGCCTGGTCGTTGTGAAGGACCCTGGGTTGCTGTTGAAGTCGGATGAAGAGCTTTGAGTGCTGGGCGCAGAGGGTCCTCAGGTTCTGCTCTTCGATTCGACACGGTTTCACGTCGCCAATTCAAGCTTTGTCTTCCGAACCATCAACTGGTGAGATCTGGTGACCCCGCCATAACGCGTTGTATGTCATTTGCACAGTTGCTGGGACTCCAAAGACTATGAGTCACCGTAT